AAAAAAAAAAAAAACTTACACAGGTTACAGTGTTAATTTATCTCTTTATCGAACTTAGGCCTAACATAAGTTAAAGTTTTATAAGGTACGGCCTATATACAAGTGGATTTATACGTTTCGTTGTCTACGATTACAATTCGTTTGTATTGTGCTAGAAATGTTATATTTAAAGAAGTACTGTTACGATAAAGATACTAATATGGCCGGAAATGTTTTGCGGATCTCTGCTAGTTATCAACTAATGTTTCTCAGTAACTTCACTAATGATAAAGGGTTTTTGAAGCTCTTATTTCTTTCACAAAATACTCTAAATGACAAATAATATTTGTAATCTGACTTTCATGCAACAACTGTCTATATCTTTTCTTTATTCTCGTTTATATCTTTTCTTTATTCCTGTCCATATATTTTCTTTATTCCCGTCTATATCTTTTCTTTATTCTTCAGCGGTAATACCGTGGGCTTATAACGTCAAAATTCTGGTTTCGATACCTGCGGTGGGCAGAGCACAGATAGCTCTTTGTGTAACAACATCTTACGCGACTTTCATTTTTCTTTCCCGTACTTGCGTGTTTGTTTTTGAGTAATGTTTTTTTTAATTTATGCAGATTTACATATTCATCTCAGCAAATTAAGAAACAAATGGACAAGTACTTTAAAAACTCCCCCCCCCCTTTTTTTTCAGATGCTGAATATTCTCGGAACTTCTGATAATTCGTTAACAAACGTTAGGTCAACTGTAACAGATTTTCATCCACACGTTCCATCAATCGATTCTGGTAACAAGAGTTCCAGAACCGCGCCCTCTGTTGCAGGATGGAGTAACGCTTCCGGTTCTACTACGCTGTGGTTATCCTCCTATGATAATTATGGGTAGGCAGGCATTCAATTGCAGTTGATTTTGTTAGTGTTATATCTTTTTAATTCATCTTCTGTGTTAATAATTTGTACTTGTAATATTTTGATAAGTATATGTTTAAGATCTCATAAATAAAATGTACAGAAATAACTCTGTAAATCGATAAGTAAAACACGTTTTTTCAACATATATCTCCTACTGCACAAATTCTAAAACGCTAAGCAAACATGAATCTTCAGTTAATTTGTGCTGTTGTTGAAGAAGAACTCAAATGAATTGTATACACATACGAATTTGTAAACTCATCTTTTATTTTAGAATGCTGACGGGAGCAGGACCTTTTATATCCAACCCAATCAATAACCTGAGTTCTATACATTCTTTAGTGCCTTTGGAAGAGAAAGGAACAATTCCTTGCCCAGAAAAGCTTTGAAGAGGTGAGAGCTGTAGTGGCTTTTTACCACTTCTATCGATGTTCAGTTTTCTCAGTTCGATGTATAAATTAATCAAGTTGGTGTACGCAACCTATGCCTTGTTTACATTCGTATACCATCTTAGAAATTCTATAACTTATGGAACTTAAAGAATAGAACAACAATTCACTTTTAACCAATCAAAACATGTGTTTCTCTTATCTTAAAACTTTTCGTTAAATAATGCACCACTTTTTAAGAAAATTATCCAATGGATATCACTAACTATTTAATGAAGCCACTCTAATCCATCCTGCACTCAAGCTTGCACCTTCTTTGGTTAAATGTCATACAAAACATCTGGTGTAGAAAATGGAAGTTAAAATATCTGGCTCGTAGAAATTATAATTTAGTTAAGTCTAACTTGCATCGTTTTGTATTGCAGCAGGAACTCTTCAGATGTGCAAAGACTTCGAATTGTCTAGAAGTGGATTGGCAACTGTTCTAGAAAAACCCAATTAACATACTGCTGTGTTGGGAATATTGTGAGAATCGCTTGTCTTCTTATTCATTGACCCTGTTCTGCAAACTTGGTGCTGAATGCATAATAAGCGTTTAATTAATAAATAATAATAAGCACTAAGACTGTTTTATAAACCTTATGGAATCGAAATTACGATTTTGACAGAATGTGTGCTGGTTTATTTTGTATTTTTTTCTTTCTCTCTCTCTCTCTCTGATACATCATAATAAACTTATATCCAAAACCAAATTCTTCATTATTCTACACGCCCAACTTTGCCTTGTTCGGGTTTTAATACGTTTTTACTAAAATGAAGAAAGCAAAGAAATTCATTGTTATCACAGAATTTTCTCATGGTAGCACAAGAACATTAAATTACTATTAATAAATAATAACAATGCTGGTGTAATAAGACATTTGATAGAGATCTAAAGAACAAGTAATACATTCTGTAATTATATACATATCAGTGTTATGAATACAGACGAAATTCTTTTTAGTTGTACCATCCATGACAACAAGATATGCTATACTTTCAGTACAATATTAACTATTATTGCCAAGATGTTTGTTATTATGTCATATTAATGAGTGAGAAATATTAATCTTTTTGTTTCAATACAATAATATTAATAAAAATTACAACAAGAAACACTTCTCACAATAAGGGTGCTTGGCTGTTGAATTAGTGCAATCTACGTATATCATTCTTTTTCTTTTTTTTATACTCTGTACCGATTTAAGTTATAAAACATATGATTTTAATTCATACGTTTTTCACTTTATTGACAAGCATTTCAAACAGAAATTTTAACAAATTGATACTTATAATTTAGTTGTA